ATTATTTTTAATTTGGGTCCGTATTTGTAATTATTTTCACTTTCCGGGCCCTTATTTGTAAATTCCCCTAAAAAAATAGTTAACTTATGTATAAAGCTTATTTAACTATGAGATTTTATTTAGTGTCAGTTACCCCGATCGAAACAAATCATGAAACTATTTTAAATGTTCAGCTAATTAAAAATTACCAAATAACTGTAGTTATTTGATAGTCCCGATCATAGTAGGGTATCGAATAATTCATTATAGTTAACTGTTATCATATATAACAGTGTAAATAACAAATCATAATATTAACAATAACTGATCATAAAAATGCGATAAGACTAATTATCCAGAAAACAATTAATGAAAACGATAAAAAACATAGAACTAGCTAAAGGTTCACTAATTCATTATAATTAAAAACAAATCACTCCGGACATTAACGAAACTCATTTACCTGGTTATAATTTAAGGAAAATAAACAGAAAATTTTCTTTCTATACAAGTCAGTAAAACTTTAGGATCTCCAGGAATGGTAACTATGTTAAATAAGAAATATTAGTGATTGCTTTAACAATAAATTATTTACCTCGAAAATCAGAACATACCTTCAGCTCTTTGACCAAACTCAATTGTAGTGTTTTTCGGGTCATTTGGAGTAGTAGTAAAATACTCAGAAAAAACGAATGTATAATTTCTGGGTTCAAGAGGACATTTGTAACCACTTGCTTCGATCATTCCTTTACAAAAATCAGTAACTGCATTAAACTTTACTTGTTTTTGTTGATATATCGTAATATTTAATGTTGCCTCTTGTTGGACTGTTACCGTGCTCTCAACAGAAATAGTGTATGTAACATTTTGACCGGTAATTATTGGGTTCGGGTTAAAAGAAAATGAAGTGACTTTATTCGGAAATGTTCCAGTACACTGGGTAAACTCCGATGGTAAATCACGCTGGAAACTAGAATAAGGAAAAGATGTAGTAAAGGTAATGAGATTTAAAAGGATAATAAGAGCAAAGAATTTCTGCATTGTGGAAATTTATTTCTTTTCTTTTTATTTTTTCTTGTTCAAAGATTTATAAGAAAAATATTTGCCAAATTTTAACGAATATTATAAATCTAACCAGTTTTTATACCTTTCTCCTTATTGTATTTAGGGCTGTTAATCGGTCCGTCCGGTCCGTCCTGGTTAAAAGACTGCCAGTCTTTTAAAAAACCGGACCGGACTGCG